ATGTGTAAACTGAAGACTATTTGAGCTTTATTAAAACTATTTGCACTGATTTTTTGTTTGTTACATTTTGTTCCTTTGTACAGTGGCTTTGAGTCTGTATAAACATCAACAAGCTGAAAAATAAAACCAAAGTTTTTTTTTTTAGATAATGTAATCTTGTTCAAATAGATTTCATAAAATTGGTATTGAAAAAAGTATCGTTCAGGAACCGGTATCGAAGTAAAGGTTTCGGTATCGATATCGAACATTTTTGAACGATACCCAGCCCTACTTACATGTGACTCGAATCTATTTTTCTCATGACAGTGTGAACCGTACAAACCACATGGATTCTGATCTTTTTAATTCCGATTTGTGCCACTTCCATATGTAGTACTAAATCCGATATAGGGCAGATGTTTTGTAGTGTGACCGCAGTCTGAACGGTCATATCGGAATTAATTTTATCTCACTCTAGATCAACTTTCGTCCAGATTCTGTGCTCATGGGAGTCACTTCAAAGATTTGACATACCCAAATGTATCAAGACAGTTGCGAAAGTAGTCAGTGGAAGTACAGTGACGTGTCAGAACTCATAAGTATTGCAGTGACAACTCTATATGCAAGCAAAACATAAGGGCTCATATCATAAAAGTTTCAAGACTCTGCTCTCCTGTGTCACATCCTTGTCTTTATTTTTCATATTGCCTGCGCATAATTTCACTGGCTTCTGTGGCAGATCACACTATAAATAAACACATAATTGCTTGCTTTGTCATTCGTGTTTACTTCCGTATGACAGCGTGCTGCGCAAGTGTTGCCAAGTCCACAGTTTTCCCGCAGAATTGGGATACTTTTTAATTGTTGCCGCGGGTTGTTTTTCAACTCCGTGGGTTAAAGCGACCCCACTAACGCGATATATAACCCCCAGAACACGATTGGGCTAGTTTTGGACTAGTTTTGAGAAGCAGTTGGGCAGATTTCGTTGTAAAAACCTGGCAACCCTGTTTGTATTGTTCTTTTGCGAATGCTGGTCAGTTCAGAACCATGATCTGTTCACTGGAAATCTGATATTGGCCACATTTAAGACAACAATGTGAACAGCTATACAAAAACAAATCGGAATTGAGCACTAAGGCTCGCAGTGTAAACGTAGCCAAATTGAAAAGATTTTCATGATAAACTTGTCCAAATAAATTACAGCGCCAGTATAAGACTATCTTGTCGAGCGTCTGCAATACCAAAGCTAATCTTTTTGACGAGGAAATGCACTAAATGGCATGAGTGTCGCATAAATTTGCAGGACCGGGGACCAAATATTTATGTAAGATAAATGATCACATTGCATAGCATGTTGTGTATAGATGGATGGATGAAGAGAGAGAGATAGAGATAGATGGATATAGAGTAGTAACTAACATTTTCACTTACTTTTGCCCATAATTGGCCCCTTATTCTATTCCTGTGGTGTAGCTGGGGCACATGGCCATTATAAGATTATATGATGGGTGTTTGCTGGAAAGCCTCTAGGTTATCTTATGTTGTGGATGCTAATTGAAACTAGCATAAGCCCTCTAATGAGCACTAATTGCTCTAATGAATTAGTTACAGTGAGACTTCTGGAGAGAGGACATTGCGGTCACTTCATAAGGCCTCACACATGTACACATACATAGTATGTTTATTCACAGAAGGCTTTCTGTTACTTAATGTCAGTTTTATGACAATGAATATAATTACTGTAACTAATTGTTGATGTTTGTTTTCCCATTAAACTGTAATTTAAAAAAATATATATTTTGAGTTTTTTTGCAGATGAATCACAAGAGATCAGTTTTAAGCTTTCTGTACAAATCTAACCTCTTTTTGCTTGCTTGAGATTACGATTTTGCTGTAAATAGCAAAAATACTAATAGATGTTTAATTTATTTTGTGTATTGGTTCTTTTGAACTGTCGTTTTCAGTGAGTTGATTCAGCACATCCGATTGATTTCAAGCCTTGATTTAGCTTGCAATTTCAATACAATTTCTACTCTTGATGAGTTCTGGCAATATAAATGTAACCAATATTGCAGTGATTTTAATGCACTTTTTATATAGCTTTAAATATTCTAAAGGGGATTCCAGTAAGCCGTTTCTGCATTTATTTGAAGTAGAAATCGTTTGTAACATTTTAAATGTATTTACCGTCACTTTTGATCAATTTAGTGCATTCTATCTTAATAAAAGTATGCATTTTTTTCTAAAGGAAAAAAAAATCTCACTGACTCAATGCAGTTTAGATCAAAGTTTGATTAACTTTTGTTAATCAGTTCTTTTGATTTGGTTGTTTCATTTAATTGGTTGAAACACCGACCAAATTTACCTATTTGTTTGCTTGATTACTCAAAAATCTTCACTTCTGTCTCTCACAACCATATTGTTGCACAAAAAAATGGCATATTTACATTAAATAACTGCCTAATTTTTATCTCTAACTATTGTAAATTAATCTACCTCCACCACAATATAATTCTACTACTGAGACTACCTAATATTTTATGAATGACCAATTTTTATGCTAATATAGTCATATCACGCGTGTTTATATATTTTACACTTTAGTTATTATTTGTGGGTTTTTCTCATGAGATTGATGTCTGGGAAGTGGGAGCGCTGTGCCTTAAGCTGATTGTTCTGCGTCAGAAACAACAGCCATTTTGGCTCCTTTCCCAGGGAAGCTTTCATTCAGATGTGCAAGAGGGGGGGTAGTTTGAGAGAGAAAGTTTTCGAAAGTGGTGTAAAGAAAGAGAAATGAAACGGAAAGCCATCAGCCATGTGCAGAACACACATAATTAACACACTCCGAATGGAAGCATTTCGCTGGAGTTGCTATGGAGACGGAGCATAAAGCTGGGCTTAGGGCTGTGTTTGGGCAGGGTAGTATAATTGTACCCAACCTGTGAAATAAACACAATCACAGAGGGTGATCCTCATTTTTAGACCCTGATATTGATTCACTTGCCAGCAGTTTTTTCATAATACTTTAACACAGTTTTTTTTTCTCTACTGCATTTCATCTCGCATAGATGCTCATTGCCACGGATTCACTTCACAGAAACATTCGTGTGTGCCTGAGCACCATTAAAGACCCAAACAATTCTCACTTGTGTATAAACACACACTATTGCACCCTCTCATCTCTGCTCTGCTGTTTTAAGTGGTCTGAGCTTCCCAAGGTCAAAAGATGCTCAGTGTTTGACGGGAAAGTAGTAAAAGGAGCTGCTTTGAAATATCATGGGCAATACACACAATGCATACAGAAAAAAAAAAAACCTGTGGCTGAACCATTGTACAATTGAGATATAAGATGGTAATTCCATGATAGTTTGGTGTATACTGTGGTACTGAATGATTGCTATATATATGTAGTTCCATGTATAGTGAATATATAAAATATAATAATATATATATATAAAAAAAAATTTTAATTTAATATTTTGAACCGTTCCCAATTCTGGGGTCAGCAACAATTTTCGTAAAGAAATTGTTTTATTCAGCAAGGATGCATTAAATTAATCTAAAGTGACAGTAAAGATTTGTACTGTTACAAAATTTATTTTTCAAATAAATGCTGTTCTTTTGAACTTTCTATTAATCAAAGAATCCGGAAAATATATTGAATTAACAGATTTCAATGTAAAAGTTATTTTAAATTGCAATAATATTTTTTGACCAAAAAAATGTAGTCTTAGTGAGCATAAGAGACTTCTATTTAAAAAAAAACTTACTTTTGAATGGTAGTGAATGTATTTCTCGTGCATGTATTATTTTTATGTATATATTATGCATAAGAAAGTGTATGTGTATAGATAGGTCGATATCTATATTTTTATATAACATGCAACAAACATACTTATAATAAATAACATTTATGTATCTTTGTTACATTGTTTATTATGATTAATAATTTCTTCTATTTTATTATTTTTAGTATGTATTTTGTAAGCAATATGTATGTATAGTATGAATGTATGTATAATAATAATATATACACTTGGCTATTGTGCCATTTGTCTTTTTATGCTGATTTACTGAAGAAAACATTTTCAGTGACAAAAAAATTGAAAGTGTTACCTTTGGCAAGGAAAATCTGGTGACCAGTGGATTACGAACTGTATGGAAAAGCATCATTTCTGTCCTGGGCTCACACAGTGAGGCAGGGAGTGAGCCTCGGTGTTTGCCGACTGTCTGATATTGCTCCTCAGGTAGCTAATCTATGTGAAATGGCACCACAGAGACCAACGCTCGCCCTCCAGCTTCATTCATATTCTATCATATTAACGTGGGATCAGTCTGAGATCCAGACAGCTGGGACGCGTGCGTGTGTGCTCACACGCGTGCCTTGTTTGTTCACTTTGCGACAGAATGGCCTCTGTGCCTCGGTTTCGTACTATAGGGGTGTGTGTGTGTGTGTGTGTGTGTGTGTGTGTGTGTGTAGCCTGCCATTTCAGGCAGTATTCAAAGTCAGCATCTACCAATGAGCTGAGAAGGCAAACGGCACAGCTGTTCTGGAGTCAGCAAGATCATCACAAGGCAGATAATGGCAGCATCGCACAACCTTCACCTTACATGCTCACCAGTAAATGATGAATGATTTTCTGCCTGATAAATAACTGCCTGCTCCTTTAACCTCGAGACCTCTTTGACGCTGTATTTTTTGTGTGCGCGCATGAGAGGACAGGAAGCCATCTGTGTCAGTGTGGCTACCCTGAGCTCAGAGCACAGGGGCAGAGAGATGACAGTCTCTTTGCTATGGGAAAAACATGGCTGTGTCTTCTCAAGCGTTTGAACGTGTGCACACTGTTTGTTTCTGCACATATATAAATGTGTAGGGGCAGGTGTCACAACCTCACTACCCAGCTGATCATTCTGTACTGCTCATTGGAGGACAGTGGGAGGGATGATGAGACTGATGGAGAAATTACACTTAAAATTAAAGAAAGGCATTTGTATTCATGTGTGTGTGTGTTTTTGTGCAGGTATGACTATCGTGAAATGCTGCATAATTCCACCTTCTGCCTGGTTCCGCGAGGACGACGACTGGGATCCTTTCGCTTCCTGGAGGCTCTGCAGGTGAGCACACATCTGTCCTTCGTTCTACATCTTTTTCTGTTTTTTTTCTATTGCTTTCCTCCTTTTTTTCTTTGGTTTCATTTCCTTTTGATTTCATATAGTTTTTATTTCCTTTCCTTTTCATCTTTTATTTTTTTCCTGATGTTGTCTCTTTTTTTCCCCCACTTCCTTCTATACTTCTTTAATTTCTTCCTTCCTGCCATACTTTCCATTCCGCACTTCCCTATATCCTTCCTCCTTCCTTCTCTAAGTCCTTCCAAGTTCATTCTTTTTTTCCATACTTCCCTTCTTCCTTACTTACTTCCACCCTTCCTTTCATTCTCTGATCTTTTCTTTTACACTTATTTCCCTCTGCACTCACATCCTTCCACCCTTCATTTCTTGCACACTTCCTTCCTTCCTTTCTTCCTTCCTCACTTCCTTTTGTACTTCCTTTCCTTTAAACATCTTTTATATCTTCTTTTCACACTTTCTTCCTTCTGTCATTTTCTTCCTTTTTTTCTGTTCTTCTCTAAATCCTTCCAAAATGTTTCCTCCTTCATTCTTTACTTGCTTCTGTCCATCCTTCTGCACTTACTTCCTGCTCAACTTTCTTTATTACATTCTTTGATCCTTCCTTCTTTCTCTAAATCCTTTCAAGCTCATTCATTCTTCCTCCTTTCCCTCCTTCCTTGATTATTTGCACCCTTCCTTCTATTCTCCGATCCTTTTTTGTACACTTACTTCTGCCTTTCCTTTCTTGTGCAGTTCTTCCTCACAAGTTGAAAACCCTCATGTCACTAATTATAACTGCATACTAACTCTGTCCCTTCTTGTCACCTTTTGGATGTTAATTAAAACATTAGTTGGCCCATTTATGAAACTTTCTATTTTTAACAAACGATTATCGCCCCCACTAGTTGGTTTGAAGAGATTTTATCATAAGGATGTTTTCAGAAATGTGGCCCTCACAAGCATTGTGAAAATTCCACACGCACGCATACTTTGACATCAGCTCTCACATACAGCACCCGCACCTCTTCACTTCTGGACCACTAGAGCTGAAGCCCTGCGGCTCTTGGTGCTCAGCTGACACCTTTATGACCTCTTGAGTGGCAGGTCCTCATTACGTCAAACAGCCGTCAGACACAACAGCTGCTCATCCCTCTATTTCTACACATCTCCCGCACTTCAAAGGAAACTCACTTTTCTCTCATCTGCCCCTCTTCCCTGTTTTATAGTTTTTTTTCCCATCCTACATATTTTCTCTCTCCCTTTCTGTATTTACTGTCATAACATGTAACTGTATAAGTGAATTGGATGTTGATCTGTAGGCGTCTGTATGCTGGACTCTTCGAGTCAGTATCAGTAACAAGGCTAATGGCTTTTCTGGCATTCAGTAGAAGCAATTTAATATGCTTCCCATTGTGTTTGTTCTGTTTCTTATTTATCCATGTGTTTTCTCTCTATGTGCTGTCCTGTAATCAAAACACAGCACATATGACTCACGCTGTGACCCCATCGCTCTGTCTGTGTGTGTTTGTGTGTTTGTAGGCGGCCTGTGTGCCAGTCATGCTGAGTAACGGTTGGGAACTCCCCTTCTCAGAGGTCATCGACTGGAACACGGCTGCTGTGATCGGGGACGAGAGGCTCCTGCTGCAGGTCTGAAATCCATTGAGTTTTTATTACATTATTTCCAGAATCTCTTTTGTATTCTACCCAAATACTTTAATAGTGGGGCCAGACATTGGGGCTGAAGTCAGCTTGGTTAGAACTTTTAGACCACCTCAGCCTGTTAGCTGGTTAATTGTATTCAAAATCACCAAAACTAATTTACCCCAAATCAGTGATTCCCATACAGATATACATGTATCTCAGGGAGGTTCCAGGAATTCCTTTGTTAAAGAGAAATCATGTCATCATTTGTTCGTGCTCATATCATTCCAAAGCTATATGACTTACTTTCTTCAAAATATCTTCATGTGATGAAGACTTTTTGGGTGAACTGTCTCTTGAACAGTGGAAATCCTGGAGCTTCACAGGAATTGTGACTAAATTCTTATTATATTAAGGCTGTCAAAAGATTAAAGTATTCACAATTAATCCTGTCATCTTTTTTTTTTATTCTTTATTTTATTTTTTTATGCTTTTAATTCCTTTTTAAAGACAGAAAAAATCATTTTGGTTCGCTCGGAGGGAATATATAAAAAATTACTTGTTAAGCTTTATAAAGAATATATCTTTGGATTTGAGACTTTAGTCTTTGCAACTTTACAGATCTTCTTTATGCACCAAGAGCTTGTAACACTCCAAAGAGAAAGGAAAAAGTGAAATCGCATCATATGACCCCTTTAAAACTATTTTTATTAATTTAATAATTTATTTAATTAACTGTAATAAATCATTTTAATTTAATAATTCATTTTATTATTATTTAATATACTGTTTTAATAGTATTAATGTTAATGATTAATGATATTCAATATGCCTTTAGATATATGCACATTTGTGTTGATGAAGAGGAATATACTGATGGGATTGAGACAAAACAGGTTGAAAACACTGGTTAGACTTGGATAGTGTTTGACATATGACTTTTGGTCCTGGATCAAGATTCCTGTCAAACTAACACTCCAAAGAGAAAGGAAAAAGTGAAATCGCATCATATGACACCTTTAAAACTATTTTTATTAATTTAATAATTTATTTAATTAACTGTAATAAATCATTTTAATTTAATAATTAATTTTATTATTATTTAATATAATAGTATTATTAGTGTAACTACTTCCCCTGCTTCTTTGATCGACATGCCATTGCGGTCAATGTTTAGCAACTGACAGTGTCATACAATGCATAAGCATCTACAATCAACAAATCACCACAATTAAGCCCAGAAGACTATGAGCTAGTGACAGAGCTGTCAGAGCCCCTCTCCCCTACCTCCCACAGCATGGGTACAGCGTTGTTGCAATTACAGCTAGCATCCAAAGAGTTGCTTTCATCCGCTGCCCTCCATTTGGAAGATTGCGGCCATCCTGTTGCGAGATTGAGTCGTCAATCACATGTCTTCAGTCACTAAAAGGGAGGACTTTTAGCTGAGCTAGAGGAACAGTCTTTCATCAGCCGCTCAGATTGGGTTTTTAAGATGACAGGTGGGGTTCTGCAAGGTTGAAAGACCACGGCTTAATATCAATGCTCGTGTCAAATGGTTATTGACTGCGCCAGGGGGAGCAAGAAGAAAACACAGGGGAAACACTCAAACTTGTGCTTTATATTGGATAATATAATATAATATAATATTAAAAGTTTTTTAAAGGGCTGCATTTGTTTGCTAAAATACATTTAAAGCAATATTGTGAAATATTACAATTTAAAATAACGGTTTTCTATTTTAATATATTTTAAAATGTAATTTACTCTTGTGATGGCAAAGCTGAATTTTTCAGCAGCCATTACACCAGTCTTCAGTGTCACAGGATCCTTCAGAAATTATTCTAATATGCTGATTTGGTGCTCAAGAAACATTTCTTATTAGGTATTATCAGTGTTGAAAACAGTTGTGCGGTTTAATATTTTTGTGGAAAAAAACATTTTCAGGTTCTTTTGATGAATACAAAGTTCAAAAGAACAGCATCTATTAGAATCATTATAAATATCTTTGCTGTCACTTTTGATCATTTTAAAGATCAATTAATTTCTTAATAATAAATGATCCCAAACTTTTGAACAGTAGTGTATATTACATTATATTATGCCATTTTAATGAAAGTATAATTCTTGAATATGACATAACAAAATATTGACAATTTAAAGCATATATAAATTAAACTAAAACACACACACAAAAAGTCTGTTTGAGAATCTGTTTGGTTACTGCTAAATTACACACTTCACCTTGAATGCCTCATGTTTCTTTACAATATTAATTGAATGCTTCGATTTGTGAAGATTGACATGCATGATTAGTCCTAATTACCATTATTTATGCCGAACGAGTTTATCTTCCTCATTCACCTTCACACCTGAACTAATTATGCAGCTGTGATTCTGTCTATAGAAAATGTCTGTATTTGTGTTCGAAATTTCTATTTGTGTGCGGTGGAGGTTGTCTGTGGAATCTCACTATCCTACATCTGATGAATGCACTCCAGATGCTGCTCAGTAAATTCTACAAGACTTTTGTCATTTGTACTACAAAAAAGCCTCCAGGCTAGAATTAAGAAGCTACAATGAAGACACAATCTCAGAGACATCCAGCTTGTGTGAAAACCCATTCCAGTTGCCAACGATTAGGCCGTCACTAAGCCAAGCCGCTTTCAAACCAAGGGGCACAATATAAACCAAAAACAACGACGACAACAAAAAAGCCTATCAGTCTTTTGTGTCTTTTTACAGCAGCCATTCATCGCTGAGAGCCTCACTCAAGGCCAGAGAAGCAATTGCTTGTCTTAATGCTGGGGCAGCTGATTGGCACAATGAGGGTGGTGAAATCGCTGGAGCATTGGATATTTTGTCTCATAGTTTATAGGCCCAGAGCTGCACCTCAATTTGAAGTGTTATTTCGAAACATTAATTTGCCCTTTCACAAAGACTTCTCCAAATGACAACTTCATAGTTCTCGTGGTTGGGGAATTTAGCTGGAATTGATTACGATTTACACGGGCTGTAATGCAGGCTGTTTATTTGTTTGTTTACTTGTTTGTGTAGATCATACAGGACCGAGTGCTTCAGCAGACCTCCAGGAGCAATCTGATGTGGAACAGTCATCCCGGTGGACTTTTTACACTGCCCCAGTACTCATCCTTCCTGGGCGACTTTCCTTTCTTCTACTCCAAACTTGGTAATTAGACAATCATCATCTTTATAGCGCACAGTTTTTCCAAAGTTAAAGACAAAAGCTGTTTCTAAAATCTTTTCCCTATAGTGCACTATTTTGAAGGTTTGCCATTTTTTGTAGTGTTGTCCAAATTCTGAGTGAACAACTTCATAGAGATTTCTTGGTAACACTTTAGAATGGGGAACACACATTCACCATTAATTCAGTTTTTCCTCAATAAACTCATAAATAGTAAGGTAGTTGTTAAGTTTAGGTATGGGGTGGATTAAGGGATCAAAATATGGTCATGCAGAAAAAGGTATTAATATTTGATTTATAAGTATAAAGATTTATTTTCATCATGCCATCCATGAACCCAAACCACAAAGCTGATGATGTTTAGTTACAAATCATGTAATAATTAATAATTGAATAATAATAATTTATGCATTTAGCAGACGCTTTTATCCAAAGTGACTTACAGTGCATTCAGGCTATACATTTTTTCCCTGGGAATCGAACCCACGACCTTTTGCGCTGCTAATGCAATGCTCTACCACTGAGCCTTAGGAACATTATTATACTGGAGCAGCATTTTCTTCTCTCACTCACTAGTTTGTTGATTTACAACAAATGAGTTTATTTTGTATGTAACATTTACTGTATAGTGAACAAGTGAGTGATTTTGGACAGAGCAAAAGTCTTTCTGACTTCAATATTGTGACACCTTTTCTCCTAAACTTTCAGAAACTTGTCCTGCATGACGTTTTGAGGTTATGTTCAAATGTTTCTGGAATTAATGAGCTTTCTAAGACATGGCAGACAGGCATTATGGGACTTTCAGATCCTCTCTCGTCTTTTACAGACATGGGTCTTGTCATAGCCAAATTTGCGACTAGCCTCATTCAAAACCCAAGTTGTGTTGTCTCTGGTTCTCTCGTTTGTAATCATCTGATTTATTTTTAAACACCCTCTCCTGCCATCTCTTAATTGCAGAGGTGTCTTGATATCTAAAAATTTACCATGTAGCTAAGTGATAACCATTGTACGACGTGATAGATTATCGACCAGCCCTGTGTAATTGGATTTCAAAATCCATATTCACAATCTAAAGTCGTGCATCGCCACAGTTGCTAATGCAGCCCAGGCATGCCTCTATCTTAATCTGCACTGTTTGTCAGGCCAATCAATATGAAGCCGTTGATTGAGCTCCTCTTGTTAGTGGGAAAATGTAAGTGTGAATAAAATATGCTAACCAATAATAATGATCATCTTGTATATGTGCAAGAATTATCATATTGGATTGTCACCGCTGCACCAATTAAACATGGTGAGTTATTTCGAGATGGTGCCAACTGTCAGTTTTATTATCTCATGGGCAAAGCGGACAATAGACGAAAAAGCAATGCATCTATTGAGAGATTAAAAACAATGTGCATGATATTAATGCCATTATCATTGATTGTAATTAAACATGTAGTCTATTTAATAACTGTAAAACGTGGATTATTTATCTCCCATTAAATCCCACATTACTCATACCACTAAATCATTGTGCTTTGAAGTATTTTATGGATATATACTGCTTATCAAACTCACAGGAGATCTGCACAGAGCTCTGTAGAAAGCGTCACAGAATCTGAACTTGAAAGACTGTCATTCAATAAGCTGTATGCATCATTCACCCTTTGTTTATTTGTTAAATATTTGATCAAATATTATATTTTTTATTAGATATTTTACGTTTTACTACGTTTAAATCCATTCAACAGAATTCCATAGATTTCCCCCCCAAGACCTGAGCAAAAAAAAAAAAAAGTACAGTGAACAGGTGCAGCATAGATCTGTTAAATCATTTTTGTCTGATTATGGTTCCTTTTGTCTGATTATGGTCCTTTGAAACTAATTCTCCTGTGTGTTTTTTTTTTTTAGGGATCAAGCCGAATCCCAGGTTCACTGCTGTTATCCATGCAGTCACACCCCTGGTTTCTCAGTCTCAGCCTATTCTCAAGCTCCTCGTCTCAGTGGCAAGGTCCCAGTACTGTGCTCAGGTAACATCCACTTCTTTTGATGGTTTATTAATTAATTAAAACAATGGAAAATCATTGCAATATATATATCAGTATTTGCTGAAAAAAGTCCCCAATTAAAATGGGGCCTTTGCACCGCTTTAGTTCCAGACCTAAATGTACAGTACTAAAGTACTGGGACGATTTTGCGTGAACTATTTCCCAGTACCATTTAAAGGGTTGCATTCGCACCGACAGTGTGTACTAGGAAGTGATGTAAGACGGTCGACAGCGACGTCATTTGTGCGCGGCGTTCAACAATGGAAACAAAGGAGAACAACGTTAACAACAGGAGAATGGAGGACGCTTTGTTCTTTCGAATTCCGAATGGATTTCCTCCATTGTGTAAATGTTCAAAAGTGCCTGCACTTCAGCGTCCATCCATCTATCGCTGTTCTCCATACTTGCGAAATAGGTTTACACAATGTTTGCAGTATGTTTACATGGCGTTTTAAATCATGGCGGATGAGGGCGTTCTCGCACACGTTTGGCCAATCAATGTCTTCTTACATCACGGGTAGTACCAGTTGTGCTGGTTAGACCCTGCTCCGGAGTAGGAGCTAATTTGGTTCTCGAAAAAGGCAGTCCGGTACTAAAATCACACCCAGTTCCGGAGGTACCCCCAAAAAGTGGGTAGTTCCACAATTAGTTCTGGTACTATGAAAATGTTCCCGCGGTGCAAAAGGCCCTAATGATTCAGAGACGAAACCTGGTTTTAGTACATTTAATTCATTTAATTTAATTCAATATTTCAATATTTTTTTAATCAATTGCACTAAATTAGTGGTTTGCAACCAGTGGGTCTTCGCAAACTTCCAGGGGCTCCGCAGGATGACTTAAAAGTATTTAAATTAATAATTTATTATTATATAATAAAATAGTCAAACTAATCTAAATTGAAATGCTAAAAATGCATCAAATCAATATCTGTTGTTCTTATGGAAGAACATGCAGTTCTTGAAATCTCAAAATGAATCATGGTTAATCAGTTTAATATATCAATAATTTCAGTTTCTGTTCATATAAAAAAAAGTCTGAAAAGAAGCAGAAATAGGGCCATACAGATAATAAATATAGTGATGGACAAAAGGAGAGTTTGAGTCAAAAATAAATAAATTGACAGCCCTGCTATAATTCCTATAACGATAAAAAAAACCATCTGTATCAGAATCGGAGCTGACTGCTGTTTTTGACATGATCTAGTTACTTAGTTAACTTTTTGACTGCTTGAGGCTTCCCATTAGGCTGTTTGACATCTGAACTTCAGAAAATGCTGAAATTAGTTTATGCAATTTGATCTGATGAGGATACAGATCGATGTTGTTTTCCTCTTGAAGATGAGTGGATATCTTTCAATGTTAAAAGCGATTTGAAGTGTCATACTTTCGGTGCATCTGGACGACTCGTCTCTGCCGCCCCCTCAGTTTACACCCCTCTTAAACCTCAGGGACTAAACCAGAGCCCAGCAGCCCATGCGTTTCCATGGCATCCACTGCCTTCTGAAGTGTTCACCACCCTGGGAACCAATGTGTATTGATTCCTCTCTAAGGTGCAGGAGAGAGAGGGGCTAGTGGGGGAGGAGAATGAGGAGGAGAGGTGGGGAATTAAATGCAACGTGTCCCCGCTGACTGCGTGAAGCATGTTGCACGCACACAAGCTGGCGCTTTTCTCAGACTGTCTCCTCTCTTCTCTGTGGGAGGGCTTGAAAAGACTCGGCTGCTGAACGCTTGGCTTTTGCTTCTCTGGCGGAGCTTGAATTGAGCACGCTTTACTCCAGCTGAAGTGGAGGGCTGGGAATAGCACAACACCCTTTAGCTACAATTCATCAGCCGGAGTCTTTGCGCAGAGAAATGGAAAGGAAGCTGGGATATAAATAATCAAGGAGATGTAGAGGAGAATGACGGGTGTCTTTTGAGCTCGTTCTGGCAGGCTAGGTAACCCACCGCTGTGAGTTAGTACGCATGAACCCCCAAAACTGGGGGAAGTTGATAGTGATACTGTCTGCATTTAAAGATATTGCAGAGCACGCCACAACTAATGACAGTTAAAAATACCCATTTAAATGAGGCATATACAAAACTACTTACAGGATCCCTGCAGGTCCTTAAAAAGTCCTAAAATGTTAATTTGTGATTTGTGTTGTAGCTCATTATGTATTTATATGTTGATATTGTTAGTGTTTATTCAGGAGGTAATTGTAATAGTGTGGTGTTGTTTAGTGTGTGTTGAATGTGAGACGATGTATGCCTTGGGATGCAAGAAAATTTTGGGATGAAATTCCAACAATAAAACTGAAATTGAAAAATACATTAACACATTCAGTATATATATATATATATATATATATATATATTAATTATTTGTATTTTTTTTATGGTATCGGCACAATAATATAACATAATAATATTAATAAACACAATATAATTTCAGCAAAATCCAACATCGGTCAACCTTCAATTTGGATGTATTGATATACAAAATCAAATTTCAAATTATTATCTAAAATGTGTATTTTTAAACTTGCAGTTACCCTCTTTTGCTAAAAAAAAAAAAAAAAAAAATCCTCTTGGTTAAATGTTAACCCTAGCCTCTTTAATTAAGTAAAAGTGATGTATTTCTGAACATACATTATTAATTACTGTAAAAAGTACAGTAGCTACTCTACTCTAGTATCCTGACTTATCAAAATCAAGTAGTCTGTGGATTGAACGACTAGTCAAATAAACTGGACATGCGGAAAAAATTTGGCTTGCTTTGAGTTTAATACATTTCTAATGGGATGTTAACATAAAGTTGGACAATTTTTTGAAGACTAAATTGGTTATATCTAAGCTATCATTTGTATAATTCTCACTGCACAATTGTTCAGTTGTTGGATGACTAGTTGACAGAACTTTAGCATCCACCCCAGTACGGGGCTTCACTCATGTCGACATGCGATCTTTGCCTCGCTCCTCCATAAACGCAGTTTGCATAATCAAAAAATCCAACCTTCAGGCTTTGTTTTGTTTCTAAGAGTTTAAGTAGTTTAATTATGTCTCTGATCTTATTATAGATTATAGAATACTTGAGAGTTTGAAGAGGCCTCCTGATCCTCCTGCATGTAATATCATTAGACAGTCAAGCTTTCATTTATTGTTCTGCTCCGTGGTTTGAGAGCTACGTGACTCTGCGATGGGGAGTTAATGAAATGAAAGATGCGGTTAAGTAAAAGGCTTGATGGCTGTTTATATCACCAGCACATTAAAACAGGATTTTAAAATCAGTGCATTAATATAGTAAATGTAATAAATAAAATAAATATATATTTTTTAATTATTTAATATTTAAATATTTTATATAAATACATTTTAAATATTGTCTATTTAAATATTATTATTTATTTGTATTATTTTTGTGAATGTTAAACCTGATCAGCGAGCCTATGTCTTTACCCAATTTCACTTTCACGCCTTTATTGCTTTTCTGTCAGTTTATTCAGTGTGCGCGTGTCTGTTCGTGTTTTGATGTCAAGACCAAAGAAATGAGACCAGAGACCTAATAATATCAGCGTTTTAAATTCTCATTTATATGCATTTATTTTTCTTGTGGGTTTTTTGATAGTCTATCACTGTTTTGTTGTACATGTAAATGTCCCTGAAAAATCCCCCTGAAAGTGTGCAAAGGGTGAGTTCAAATACTCGAGTGCTCTTAATCAGTTGTTTAACCCCGCTCTGTGAACTAACTGACTTCTAAATCACAGACACTCTCTGAGAGGAAGGGCCCCTCTTAAAATGTTCCACATGAAACATTTATGAGTGTTAACGTAAAACCAGAGCCAGAGGTGTAATCACTCAAAGACACTTGAAAGTGACAAAACAAAATGAATTTAAAATAAAAAAAACTCACGGCTATGACGAGCTGTAAATTGAAACTGACATTGCATTACAAATTTGCGACATTCCAGGCTAATGCTAAAACCAGATAAACATTTACAGAAATGTGTGCGAACTTCACGGAGTGAAAGTCCCTGAGACCTTTCAATGTGGCATGTTTGGCATTCACGGCATACGTTTTACTGTCACATGCTCTGTTTAAGTGTGGCTTTTTAATGAAGTATGACTGTGTATGAAAGTATGGAACTGATTTGTATTATTTATTTTCTTTGGAAAGAAACGTGCGACTGGATCTGATTTTAGTCTTTCTGCCCCCAAGGCCTCAGTAAAATAAATGTACTGTACAATTCAAAAAAATGCATGGTTTTGAAAATTGCCTTGTTTCTGATCTCTCTTTCTTTGTTTTTTTTTCAGATTATTGTATTGTGGAATTGTGACAAGCCTTTACCTGCCAAGCATCGATGGCCGGCCACCTCAGTGCCCATTATTGTAATTGAAGGAGAGAACAAGGTGATATACAGTATGGTTTCTTTGAGATTTCAATAAGGTTTCCCAAGTTGTTTCCACTTTTTGACAAATGACATTATGACAGCATTAGATGTGTCACAAAGTCTAAAAATAAATGCATGAAACTTTGTGAACGCTGGTTTTAATGTATACACTCCTGTTCCAAAGTTTGGAGTCAGTTAGATTTTTTATTTAGTTTTTGTAAATTAATGCTTTTATTCATCAAGGCACCTTAAATTGATTAAAAGTAACAGTAAAGACTTCTATAATGTTACAAAAAAATCTATTTCAAATTAATGCTGTTCTTGTGAACTTTCTATTCATCAAAGAATTATATCAAATGTATCAGTTTCCACAAAAATATCATGCATCACAATTGTTTTCATTGACATTTAGTCAAGTCACCTTTATTTCTATAGCGCTTTTAACAATACAGATTGTGTCAAAGCAACTTTACAGCATTATATAGGAAAATAGTGTGTCAGTAATGCAAAATGACAATAGAGTCATTTAATTAGTCATTTAACAAGACGCTTTTATTCAAAGCGACTTACAAATGAGGACAATAGAAGCACTCAAAACCAACAAAAAGGCAATAATATGTAAGTGCTGTGACAAGTCTCAGTTAGCCTAACGCAGTACATGTAGCAAGGTTTTTTTTATTATAATAAATATAAAGAAAACAAGAAGATAGAATAGAAAAAGAATATAGAATGCTAGTGTTAGAGGCTTTTTTTAAGAAAACAAGTAGTAAGAATATAAATATAATAGAGAGTGCTAGAGTTAGATGGTCAAATGAAGATGGAAGAGATGTGTTTTTAGCCGATTCTTGAAGCTGACGAAGGATTCAGCTACTCGAATTGAGCTGGGCAGGTCATTCCACCAGGAGGGGAACAGTTAATGTAAAAGTCAGTGAAAGTGATTTCAACATTGATATTAATAAGAAATGTTTCCTGAGTATCAGATCAGCATAGAATGATTTCTGAAGGATCATGGGTAACACTTTAGTATAGGAACCAATTCTCACTAATAACTAGTTGCTTATTAGCATGACTCTCATTAACATATTGTCTGTTTATTAGTACTTATAAAGCACATATTCTGCAAGAATCCCTAATCCTACCCCATACCTAAACTTAACAATTACCTACTAACTATTAATGAGCAGCAAATTAGGAGTTTGAGGCAAACATCGTAGTTAATTGTTTGTTAATAGCAAGAATTGGACCTTAAAATAAAGTGTGACCGGATCATGTGACACTAAAGAATGGAGTAATGGCTGCTAAAATTAACATTTCAAAATAGAAAAATTGTGGGTTTTAATTGTTCTAGTATTTCACAGTATTGCTGTACTTGATGAGCATAAGAAAATCCTTTCAAAAACATTTTGAATGGTATATATGTAATGTTTTTCATTGGTAATGAAAGTTATTGGCCTGATAAAGTCTGTCACAAAATTGTGACTATATTTATATGTATTGCAGTCAAATATTAGTGACACACAACAGAACATCCTGCACTTTTATAGGTGCTCGTAGGGCTTGTGTGGATGTTTCTGGTGTAGGCTAAAGCTGTGGAACAGAGAAGAGGGACTGTGAGTGTGAGTGTTGTTTCCCAGTGTTTGGAGCGGAGAGGGATTAGTTTTCCTCTGGCTGAGGGAAGAGAGCAGTGAAGTAGTGCCAGTCAGCCTGTGGTTTGTACGGCTTGTGGCAGTCTTGTTTACAGAGTAGTGTGTGTGTGTGTTCCCACCCAGACTAGCTGACGAGGAGACAGCTCTTTTAAGCCGTGATTGACAGCCTGGTCTCATGCCACACTGAAGTGTTGCTTTAGGCATTTTCCTTATTAAACACTCCCATTTCTACATTATATGAGATCCTACAGAGAATACCATGCCTTTCAGACTCACTTCCTGTGGTAGAGCTGTGCTGCACTGGATTTCATTAAGGACTGCATGAAACAACATTAACTTCTTACTGAGAATTGGTTTAATTTGATTGAAGCGTAAAATTCCAAGGGAAGTAAGATAAGGCGGGACTTGGTTTTAGCCATTGCGATTGGATGGTGAAAAACTATTTTGTGTAATTTTGTGAATATTAAATTTCCTGTCCATGCAAGCTGACTTGCGTCAACAGAAAAATTGGAAAAGGCAGAGAATATTTTAATAATACATTTAAAAAATAATAATTTAATCCTTTTTAAATGTTTTTATTTTTATTTTTTTAATTAACAAGCATGCAAAAACATGCACTGTGATATGATTGTAAATAAGGGCAATTTAATTTTTTTTTTTAGTAGGGAATTTTAGAAGTGATGCACACTAATACATTTTTTACGAAGACCAAAATTAGCATTTTCGTTTAGCCAGAAACCAAACCAAAAAAATGTGGTTATTCAATCTGGGTAATTGAACCTTGCTGTTCACAGTGTTGTTTTCTCATGTGAAAAATTAAGCCAGTTAAAGTTCTAATGCATTTAGCCAAGCTAATCCATGTTTTGTGCATGAAATGGACGCTCGCTGACACAGTCAAAACACAAATATTTTCTGTTTAAAACTTCTTAGTTGTTACTATTAGTAGTAATGTATTAGTGGCGGAAAATGATCATGAAATGCATCTAAGGGAAATCTACTTGAAACATGACTCAACTCAATTTTCAAACTTGATTCTGTGGTGCGGCAGTATGGCGTCTGTGGATTTGAAGGAGAGAAATGTGAGACGTCCAGCGTTAGATTTAATCCTGACTTCACGGGGCTATCACTCACCTGCACGTGCCTCATCTTTCACCTTCATATTGTGGCTGTGGCTTTCTAGATGTGGAGTGTTCCCTGCGGGCACTGCTGGCAGACTGCTCATGTGACTGAGGGGGGATTTACAATGGGAAGCACATGTGTATTATTTCCTGTTTAGTTGTGCTTTTAGACACCGTCTTCTTTCGGTGTATTTATGACTCCGTTTGTCACTTCCTGACACTGTTTTGACGTTTAGTGCCATTGAGGCTTGATTTTTCCATGTGTGTTTTGACAAAAGTTAAATAAAATGTTTGCATGTTTATGAAGCACTGTGAGGGGATGTGTGTGGGTGGCCTGTTGTTGTATGCGTCTGTGACAGGACTTCAATGTGTCTCGTTTTGTAAATTTCTGCATCTTATTAGTGATCAACCACACATGCACAACAGTAACCAAATATTTGGAGTTTAATCCAAACAGAGAAAAATATGAAGAGAGGCATTTTCCTTTTATACAAGCTTTCTATCTGAAGTCTTTAGATAAAATCTGACCGTACATATTTATTTTCTCTCTGTAGGTCATGAGCAGTCGGTTTCAGCCCTATGACAGTATCATCAGCGATGCAGTGTTAAGTCTGGATGAGGACACTGTGTTGTCAACCACTGAGGTATGGACTATAATTCTCCTGCTCTCTGTGTCTCTCTGACTCACACATCAGCAGTGAGGGTGACTGCCGTCCTGAGCTCTGTTAGCCTGTGGCCCTGCAGCACTGCTGAAGACGGCGCTTCCTCCTGGAAAGTTTCCTTTTTCATTTTCTATCACTATTCATGGCTGTAAATGTCATCTTTCTTTTCTGGGGTCTTCGACAGGAGGTCAGAGACGTTTTTATTTTAGCTTTGTCAAAGTGAATGTTTGCGATTTAATGACACATTTAATGTAGCTACAGTTATTAATGATGTTAATTAAAAAAGATTTGATTTGAAATAATCAAAGCTGATTGAAATGTTTGTTTAGATTGAAACCGATCAGCCCCTGTTTTTGGGAAAGGTTTTTTTGGTTGTTTTTTTTATGTTTTATCATTATTAAACAAACCAAGATGGTACATTAAACTAAATTAATTTATTTGAATCATTTACATTTACATTACATACATTTAATTAACATAGTTATCATCAAAACTCAATATATTATATATATAAAATAAAATAAAATAATTATAGATAATAGCTATAAAATCTAAAAAATACTACATACATAATACAGATGTGTGTGTATGTATGTGTACAGTTTGTTGACAGTCATGTGTATAATTTTATATATAAAAGTTTAGCCAGTCATAACAGAGGTCATTTACTTATGGGTACAGTACAGTAGCCAGAATACCCTGAAAGGATCAAACAGATGAAAAATGGTGGAAGTTTTTGTTGGAAAACAACTTGAATAACATCATAAGTGTGCCTCAGGGAAAGAGACTGCTCCTTTCCTGGCCCTATATTAAAAATAGCATCCATTGCAGCTAACAATAGGGCAGATGTCGGATCCGTAACCCTGTAGCTCCTTAAAGTGAAAGACGCCTTATCGTTTGAGCAGGCTTGTGATCGCTCCCTCCTCAGCCACTCTCGGATTAAACCCCCAACCTTTCAGCTGGCAGTGCAGATTTGGTAACCACCGTGCTTCCGCCACCCATAATCAGCTCAGCATGGCCTCAGCCCTCGGTTCCTCCCTCTCTCGGCTTCTTTCTGTCCCCTGCATTAGTGGCACTCTGCAGTGAACGCCAGTGAGAAATGGCCATCCCTTATCAGAGGCAGCAGAGCCAGTTGCTGGTCACAGAGCCACTTGACGCACACAGCTGAAGTCAACCTCCTAAACCTGTCTTCCCTCCTGTGCCTTGCTCTTTTCTTCCTGAAATGGAGATCTTTAATCATGTGTTATCTTGACCACACTGCAGGGAAACTCCAATTACTCTTTCTTTCTTGAACTCCCCCTCCCAAATAACCCCATTTGTGTAGCTGGAGACTTTGGCATTACATGCGAGGCGGATGTGCTGCCGGTGGGGTTACGCCAAGGTTTCAGTGTATATAGTAAATTAATTTATTTGAATCATTTACATTTACATTACATACATTTAATTAACATAGTTATCATCAAAACTCAATATATTATATATATAAAATAAAATAAAATAATTATAGATAATAGCTATAAAATCTAAAAAATACTACATACATAATACAGATGTGTGTGTATGTATGTGTACAGTTTGTTGACAGTCATGTGTATAATTTTATATATAAAAGTTTAGCCAGTCATAACAGAGGTCATTTACTTATGGGTACAGTACAGTAGCCAGAATACCCTGAAAGGATCAAACAGATGAAAAATGGTGGAAGTTTTTGTTGGAAAACAACTTGAATAACATCATAAGTGTGCCTCAGGGAAAGAGACTGCTCCTTTCCTGGCCCTATATTAAAAATAGCATCCATTGCAGCTAACAATAGGGCAGATGTCGGATCCGTAACCCTGTAGCTCCTTAAAGTGAAAGACGCCTTATCGTTTGAGCAGGCTTGTGATCGCTCCCTCCTCAGCCACTCTCGGATTAAACCCCCAACCTTTCAGCTGGCAGTGCAGATTTGGTAACCACCGTGCTTCCGCCACCCATAATCAGCTCAGCATGGCCTCAGCCCTCGGTTCCTCCCTCTCTCGGCTTCTTTCTGTCCCCTGCATTAGTGGCACTCTGCAGTGAACGCCAGTGAGAAATGGCCATCCCTTATCAGAGGCAGCAGAGCCAGTTGCTGGTCACAGAGCCACTTGACGCACACAGCTGAAGTCAACCTCCTAAACCTGTCTTCCCTCCTGTGCCTTGCTCTTTTCTTCCTGAAATGGAGATCTTTAATCATGTGTTATCTTGACCACACTGCAGGGAAACTCCAATTACTCTTTCTTTCTTGAACTCCCCCTCCCAAATAACCCCATTTGTGTAGCTGGAGACTTTGGCATTACATGCGAGGCGGATGTGCTGCCGGTGGGGTTACGCCAAGGTTTCAGTGTATATAGTTAGTCTGTTTGTGTGTGTGTGGTGTGTGTGTGTGTGTGTGTGTGTGTGTGTGTGTGTGGTTCAATTCACTGCTGACTTGAGATCCAGCTGAGGCTCCGCCGCTGACACTTTTGATGTGTTTCAGTAATTATTTGTTTAAATGCTTTGATCTTCGAAAAAGGAGGGCATCTTCTCAGCCTGCAGCTTTGAAAGCGTGTTTGTGTATGTGTGCGTGTATCTTTGTCTGGATTTTGTCATGAGAGAGCCTTCATGCCACCATCCTCGATTCTTTATTCCTTCTTTTTAATTTGTTATACTGCTGGTTTGGCGAGTAGCTTCTAACTTGAGCTAAACGTTGCCTTGCAGGTGGACTTTGCCTTCACGGTATGGCAGAGTTTCCCTGAGAGAATCGTGGGATATCCTGCCCGCAGTCATTTCTGGGACAATAATAAGGAGCGCTGGGGTTACACATCCAAATGGACCAATGACTATTCCATGGTTCTCACCGGAGCTGCCATTTACCACAGGTACTGCATGTGGAAACCGCTGCTTCACTGGGAGGAAATTAGGGCAGTGCCTTCCAGTTACATTTTATTTGCACAGGTGTATTTCTAATGCCTAAAGATGAATACACACTGCCATTCGATGGTTTGGGGTCATTTTTTTGCCAGAAAGGAAAACTTTTATTCAGTAATGATGCATTAAATTGATTAAAAGTGAAAAGAAAGACTTTATTTAAAATAAATGCTGTACTTGTGAAATTTATATTCATCCAAGAATAATTTTTTTTTTTTTTTAAAGTTTCCACAACAATATTAACTATTCTCAACATTGTTGATGAGAAATTTTGAATGTCACATCAGCATATTAGAATGACTGTATATGATGGATCATATGATAGGTCGAGTAAACGCTTAATGAAATTCATTCGAATTATTCATACTAAAAGTTAGGTAATATGCTGGTTATGTCCAAAATCAAAAGCAGTAACCTCACAAATTTTCATAATTCTAGACATCTTTAAAATGTAGATTACCATTGCAATAATTAGACTAGGTGATATTTTGTAAATATTAATACGATTATAATAATCTTCAGGTTAAACCGAATCATGATCTTAAACAAGAAGTAGTCCAAATATAAGGATCTGTTTCTATCATGGTAACACCACAGACATGAGGATATGATTTTTCTTAAAATATCACAAAAGTATTTATATAAAATAATTTTCTTGGCAATATAATTATTTTATTATGTAATTGTATTTAATTTAACATGCATAATATTTATTTTAAATAAAGATTTTCTGATTATTATTTTTGTAAAGTTGATGGGCACCACCTGCCACCACAAATGTAGAATTATTCAATTGTCAGAAAAACATGATTTGCAGTTTCCGTAGTAAGCTAGAAACTTGCAGCAAGGACACATTTGTAGGACAAGTAGGCATTAAATATATATTTAAGGAAAATTGTGTTTAAAAAAAGAACCTATTGATTAAAAGGCTGATATTGTTTTTTTTGCAGTTAACGAAAAAAAAATCACTATCTCTTATCCAGTCCAACACTGAGCTTTTGAATTTATGATTTGGTTGTCTCAACCTGTCCTTGACTATGTCCATGCCCTCCATTCTGTCCTTTTCTCCAGATATTACCACTTCCTGTATACCAACTTCCTGCCAAGTAGCCTGAAGAGCATGGTGGACCAGCTGGCCAACTGTGAGGACATCCTCATGAACTTCCTAGTGTCTGCTGTCACCAAGCTGCCGCCCATCAAGGTCACACAAAAAAAGCAGTACAAGGAGACCATGATGGGTCAGGTAAGTGTAGATAATTAAACCTACATGAGCTTAAGCAAGTCATCTAACATTGTGCATCTGTTCCTCTTAGTCATCTCGAGCCTCGCGTTGGGCGGACCCGGACCACTTTGCCCAGCGTCAGACCTGCATGAACAAGTTCGCCAGCTGGTTTGGCGGCATGCCACTGGTCCACTCCCAAATGAGACTGGACCCCATTCTGTTTAAGGACCAGGTCTCCATCCTCCGTAAGAAATACAGGGAGATCGAGCGGCTCTGACCAGACTGGCGCCCCTTGACGGACATTTAACAGGGGGCCGCAATAGACTCACCAGAGCTGAGGAGGACCATAGTGGTTCAGTTTTCCCTTCAGCACACAAGCAAAGGACAAAGACAGCAGGATGTGACGGCCTCTGTGGACCTTCAGACACACGTGACACACTTTTTAACTCTTCGGAAGATTTAGTTTTGTTTCAAGGTTGGTAACAAATGCCACAGAAAAACTCATCTTTCCCAGCACATGAGCGAGGAGTTGGACGACAGGAGGGACGCATCATCGTGTTAGCACTTCTTCACCCCGCCACATCGAGATCCATCCATCCATCCATCCATCCATCCTCCTGCATCGGATGTCAGCATCACTTTCTCTGAATCAGTTCTTTCCAAGGTCTTGAGCCATGATTGTGTACGATTGAGCCCATGCTTTTATTTCCAAGTTTGAGGTGTTAAGGTTTTTTTCCTTTTCAAAAGACTTCATAATCATTTCGTTTCAGTGGAAGTGATTCAAGGCTATGATGTAGACAGTGAAGGTGAAAAGTTCACAGACACAGAAATATTGCAGTGTGCAAAAAAGGGCCTTAACATTACATTCAAAACGGTGGTCCCTCTTATTAGTGGCATAAAAACCATTTATACACCCTGCAGTATTTTATTTCTTATTTTCAAAAATGGTGCCAAGACTAATGAGTTGCCTTAAGTGGCTTGTCAAACCCTCCCTACCTAATTAATTCATGCAAATCCACCTTAAAGTGTATTTAAAAAACTGTACTAGAAATCCCTAAATCCTCACGTTATTAAACAGCCCGACTTCGGAAAAAAAAATTTGTCAAGAGAAAAATTAGCATGGAAACAAAGGCCGAGCTTACAGTGCAGTAACACCATCTGTTTAGGTGAGAAAACTTTCATAGACATCAGCACATGACAGGTTGCATTGTAAGGACTTATGGCTGTAATTTAAGTGAGACGTCTCTCACCTCCTCTATCTTCCCTGTCCCTGTGAAAAATGAGCTGTCCGTCAAAGTTCAATGAACACTGCCTCAATTCTCCCCTTCGGCCTCCTATTTTAAATGTGACTCCTTCGCATATAAAACTCACTCAGCCATAAATGGACACCTGGCAAATTTATGTCCCCTAGAAAGTGGCAAGTATGCTTCTATTCCATCAAAATGTACATCCATTCTTGTTGATTTCATATCAAGGGAACGGCTCTCAAGACTTTGGGTGTTGTTTCACTGTTTTCCAGAGTTAGAGTGGAGCATGTTGTCAGTCTCCGCTCACAGGTACTTGAATGTCTGATGACTTGAAGGAGTGCCGTGCTTTAGTGGCCTTTTGTGAAGGTGACTGGACTTAAAATGTGCCAGCTGTGAGCCAAAGCCTTTTTTTTTCCTTTTCATGTTTTCTGCACATAATGCATCAGAATGCGGTTGATGCTGTGACATGATGTACACTGCATATTTTTTTATCCCCCATCATGGTCAGCCCACGCTGAAATTTAAATGCATACCTGACACTGAATGTTTAGGAACCTGAGTTTCAGACTTCAATTGTTGTGCATTGTATTTTAATAAGCTATTTGACATTGAATCATGAGTTAAAGGCCTGAGAAATTTGCAGTAATGCTCCTGTGTTTCATTAACATTATCCGAATGAACTGGCCTGAATGAAATTTTAAAATGTCCATCTTGACATTAACGTTTAGGTGCTTGCTTGAATCTTGTTATACAAGTATGTGAATTAATTTCAAAGTCCCTGAAAGCTTCAACTATAATTGCCCTCTTAACAGTTGCATAAAATGTTCATTAGTTAATTAGTTGACTTTGTCATCCTTTTCTGACTTTTTTTTTAAGAAACGGCACACATCTGGTTAAGTTTTAAGTTCAGCAAATCATCTAGTTAAAAAAATTATGTCCAGCATTTATACCTATGTCATATCACACAATTAATGTCTGGCCTCGCACAATTTCAACAGCCAATTATGTACACTTCAAATACAATGTACATAATCCTTGTTCATACAGCTGGATCTGCACAATTATATATAGGATGATGCATCCAAGATGATTTTAGCAGGTAGATGTGTGCATCAGATGTCCGTTTTGATTAATATGTGCATCCCATCCCATCACGATACCCTTGCCAACACTGTCATCAGGGCTCATGATATGTCCAGATCTGCCCAAGGCCCTTGTCAGTGCACAGCATGTGTGCAGACAACACACTGATAAATGTTTGCATTGACGCCAATGTTATTTTAACTACCCAGCTTAACGTGACAATTCATTTGAGATTGGCCTGTTGAATGCTGCTGCTACCACTACACACTTGCAAGATCACCAAAGAATCTTGGCAAATTTAAACTCACGCAATTGTATTATGTTGTCGTTAGCAAACTGATTCTTGCATTTTCTATACTTTTTCATTCTGTTTCGATCATCCTGTCTCAAGGCTAACTGGTAAAATTAGCATCTGATTTATCTTACATTATGTTCTGTGATTAGCAATAAGCAATATGGAGTCATGCTCAAAAACATCACTGATCTCTCCCTGATTGTGCCTTTTGATTCAACTGAGTTGAGTTTGTGACCTCCGCTGTCACATGGGACAGAAGCGGCAAAATCGTTCAAATAAAGTTGCGTCATCTGCGGACACTAAAGTTTCACAACATCTGTTAACCACTCGACTGTATTTCTCACGTTAGGCTGTTAACCAGACTTGCATGACCACTTTAGACTATTTATGAGTAAATACCGATTTGTTTTGGGTTCTTTTTGTTCAGAGCTGTTTGTTTTGCTCCCTCCTGTCCTGACCCTTCATCCCAGTAATTAACAGAAGAATTTTTATAGAGGTAATAAAGAAATTGCAAAATGCCAATTTTGTATGAATGATTTATAAGAAAATGAATAAAGTCATATTTGATGCTATAACGACATGAATTGCATGTTTTTTTCCGATTAGAGGTTACAGATTAGGGATTACAAATAATGTAGGGTATATTGAACCATACATGCTGGAATTTAGCACTATTGATTGTGCGGTTACTGTAGACAGCTGTGCATTTTTTTTCTTTTTGAATAGGATGCTTTTATATCTAATATTAAAATCTGACCATTTGTTCTTGATTTTTTTTTTTTTTTTAAATAGAAGTCGAGACAAGCATTGGTATATGTTTATACTTAATAGATATAGCACCACACTAATATGCAATGTTTCATACAATATTTTTCTGTAAGTTATGATTGAACTATAACTATACTATACAGTTTAACCGTAAATAGCAGCCATCGCTCATGCAAAATATGAGTATACTTGCGTAAAAGGTTCATTTTAAAGCATATCTGAGTGAATGAGCAGACTGCTCAGACCTCCTAATGTTCATCAGGTTGAAAATTGAATCCAAGACAGCTGAACCGAATTGGTATTTCAACCGTGTGTTATGAATGTAGCAGAATTTCTTCAGTCCAGTCCACTCTTTTCGCTTCCTACCTTCTCTCAATTTTGTGCCTCGCTGCTCTTTCCTGCATCTGTCTTACGTGTCCCGCTGAAAACAGCTCATGAATGCAGCGAATACAGGCAGTGTATGTACAACAGTGTATGACTGCACACGTGTTTGTGAGTGTGTGTTTCAGCTCCTGACAGCCAGCATGGAGTTGATCTCCCAGATGAGGTTTCTGAGTTGGTCCATAATCATCTTCAGCTGCTGGTTCTTCTGTTTGAGTTTCTGTGATAAAAATGGAAATAAACATTTTCAGTTATTGAGCGGTTAATATGCAGCACTGGTGAGCAGAACATCACTGACATAACATTTTTCAATAGTGTAACAGCACAGCTATTTTCAAAATGATGTAGCAGGGTTTTTTTCCCCAACAACTACCTGTGTAGCATGACAAAACTCATCTTATGCCACATTATATGTCATTACTTCATTGTGCAGAGCTGTAAAGCCAGTAATGTAAGCAAACTCACAGAATAGTGTGATCAGTTGTATTCACTGTGTAGTGCATGTGCATCTGTAGCACCACAGCAACAGAAACTATATTTTGCCTGAGACATTAATTAAATGTGACGGAATAACATGGTGCTGCTGGATAATTTTGATTGGGCCCAGTCTTTGTTTTTGCATGTAGCATGCCAATAACACAAGCTGAAATTATACAGTGCGACCAGTGTATTCCAGTTGATGAACAAATGTCTTTTAATGAATCAGTCAAAAGACTCACAAACTCAAACTGGTTTGAATCACTCTAAAGAGCTACTGAACATCTGACTATCTGTAGGCAAAGATGCCCATTCTCAAAACAGTCTGAAATGGCATTAAATAGTTGTACATAATACTTAGGATGGTGGGAATGTCTTGCTTCATTTAAAGACGAAAGTAATCTAAAAATAATTAAGATGAAAATAAAGGGAAAAAAATGAAGATAAAGATTTTTTTAATCAGTCACAAAAACTTTTTTATTACATGGCGAAAATAAACAAAAAAACAATGGTGAGATGTAAACATAACTAGGGCGTCCACACCGATCAGATGATTGAGTTAGTTCATTCAGTGAAGAATTCATCACTCTGACTCAAACTGGTATCTCGAGTTCACGAGTCTTTTAAATGATTCACTGAAAAAAAACAGCTCAGAAGAGTCATTTGCTCATGAACCAGACTATAGTTGCACTATGTGCTTGTCTAGCAGTAAAATGTGATAACTATGTGAGATAACACATGAAACATGTTTTCTTGCCAATTTTTGGCATTACATTGTGCTTCTCATATTCGATTCACAAGGCAAACTCACATTCATAACTCGGGTAAAACAATTACTTTTACTGTGTTGCTGGAGATTATCACTGAAAAGCGGTGCTGAAAACACTGCTGCATGCTGTATTTGTGTAAATAGTTTAATAACATCACCTTAAGTAGGCTCAATACATTTCGTTGCTTTTGTTAGTTTAACTGCTTTATGAAAAGGACTATATAGTTATATACTCAGTAGGAGTGGAACGGTTCGCGGAAAAATTTCGAACCATACGGTTCTCCACGCACGGTTCGGCACGCGCTAGGACAGCGGTTCAACTTAAATCTGAAGGCAAGGCAAGTTTATTTGTATAGCACATTTCATACACAATGGTAATTCAAAGTGCTTTACATAAAAGAAAATAAAAAAATAATCACAACAATAAAACAAGGAATTTTAAAAGTTTGAAAATTATTTAAAAAAATGTAACACGTAAAACAATTAGGGTTCTGCTAATGTATGTTTCTGTTGATGGATGCGCATTCTGGTTTCCCAGTACATTACAACAACAGCAATAAATAAACGTGGACAAACCATTCACTCTTGTTCAATACGAATGTCTTATGCTGGAATGTGAGCAGTCATTTATTCCATCATCACCCGGGTGCTGATAGCACGCGCGAACAGGTGAGACCTGAACAGCACACGTTGATATCTGTTTAAACTAAACTCATTTAAGCTTTGCCAGTTTAAACATTTAAGAGCCAGAGGACGCGAGGCAGTGAGAAGATTTCGAAGATCATCCGAAGCCTCAGAACGCGCGCAGATATTAAGCTCTATCTGAAGTATTGTGTTTAAATAATGGACAAATTCACACAAAAATTATGTCAAAATGGCCGTCTTGGTAAGTATCCCATAGCAGACATAGCCGGCTGAACGTACTGTATCAGTGCACTGGA